GGGTCATGAAAATTCGGGCTACCAAGCATTGTTGTAAGTTTTACAGACAATATATGCTCATATTCCGGTTATTTAATAATGCCAACATTACTATATGAGATAAACAATTATAGATTGGGTCAATCATTCTAGTTATGCTTTGATTTCATACATTTTGAAAAACCCTTTTGCATAACTCACAAAAAAGTGAGTTTAGAAGCATAAGAATCAATATCATTTCAACACAAGCAACACAACCTTCATCAACTGGCATTCAAAGAGGTACACCACATAAGTATGTAATTGCATGGTCCAATGCCAGATATAGTAAATAACATACACACATAGGATGCTAAAACTAGAAATGATCACTTAGTACTCCTCCGTGGTAAGCCAAAAAATAATCATGTTATAAACATATGCATGATTCTATATGCAAACATCTAATGCAATACATACATAAAATGCACCTAAAGATCTACCTACTAATACATGGTATGTTAATCATCTCAAGACATGAGGTAGTACACAGAATCACATCAGAAATGATAAATCCCACAAATGCAGATGAACCGAACTTTGATGTACAAAAAATGGATGCAAATCATGGATATAATAAATGAAACATGTTACAACATACATGAAAAACATATAAATAAAAGGGATAGAAAGACGTGAGGTTAGAAATTATTGCAACAATAAAATGAATGAAAAAGACATGGGATTGGAAGTTATTATAACAATGACATGGAGTTTGAATTTATTATAACAATGAATTGATTCAGCTAAATGGAAGTTGAATCTAACAAATCATAATAAAATTGAAAACAAAGTATACAAACAGTCACAACTACCCAAGAGAGCACCCCTCAAAAACTGCCCTGCTTTGCTCTATTCTGTTCTGTCTAGGAAAATCATTTGACCATATATAAAAATCATCAGGCTGAAGGAATAGAAACCCAGTTGTACATAACATCCGAGAGGAACTCTATTTTATGTAGCAGAGCCAAAACAAAACAAAAACACCTTCCAAATGGTGCTCATCCTTTCTACCTTTTCCTCTTGCAAAGACATTTTAAGAAATGGGTAGATAAGCCTCAACCCTTAACCAATAACAAAATATGCTATGTAATATGTACAAAACCTATTAAATGGATAAACTAAAATATACAGGAATTGAAACTAAAAGAAACACAAGCTAGAGAAATAAATGCCAACCTGCATTCATCTCTTTGTGGATAAGGGTAGATTAATACCCAAATCTATGCTATTAATTGAAGAGAGCAGATTGCCACTACTTCTAAATTTTGAAGCCTTCTAAAGCTAATGAAAGTTTTATAGGGCTTCTAAGAAAGGAGGGAGGAAGCACAAGAAAATACATATGACTCATTAACAGGGTTGAAAACTCATCTTCTATGTCATAGAATATAGATGTAGAATCCATTTCCATGTTAAAAGTTAGTTGAGAAGAGAGCATTCAACACATTTGAGGAGGAAGTTTTTATAGCTTTTTTGGGTGGATAAAAGCTTTTATAGCTTCTAGTAAAAAGGAGAGAAAGTAAGAGATAGCAAAGAATCATCCAATGGATCCCATGAGGCAACCACAAATACTCATTAGGATTGAGCATGGATTAAATTACATGGATCAAAACACTTGGATGGTGCAAAAAACTAAGGAAATTACATGAAAGTAACGAAATTACACTACAATCCTATGGTGGTGGCTGAGCCATCCACATCCCAAAACTAAAAGATTACATTGAACAAGGATAAATTATGCTATAACTCCATGAGGGTGGCTAAGCTATTCACATCCCAAAGACGATCACAAGTTTACACAACCAAAAGCTATGGAAATAGAGAGAGAGAAGGGAGAAAGGGATGAGAAAAGCTCCAAACTCTTACTTTCAAAGCAAGGAAGAGTTTTTGATTAGAAACCTTCTTTCCTATCACCCTCAAGGCTCCTAGAGATGGATTAAACCCTTAGCAAGGAGCTCAAAGATCAAGCTTTAATGGTATTTAGGTCATGGGTGTATGAGGAGAGAGATGGAACAGTGAGGAGTTCTTGGTTTCAAGGTGGTTTTGCTCTCAAGCTCTTATAAGCTTTTGAAATGATTTTCCAACCCTTTCAAATGAAGTAGAGAGGTGTATTTATAAACCTTTGGGGCAAAAATAATATATCTAAGAAACTTGCAGAAGAATCTCAAAAGTAGAATATCTAAGATATTTGTGTAAAATTCACAAAAAAAGCCAAATTTTCCAAAACTATTCTGTTTCCTAGACAATTCACCCGGCTAGACAAAAAATTATTTGGCCAGATGATTTTTTTTTACAGCCAAGTGGAAATTCATTTGGCCAACACATTTTTCGTATAGCTAGATTAGTTTTTTAAAGGAAAAAACAAGGTTTTTTTTTTTTTCCACAAAATTCTCATTCCTTACACTCATCTCCACTTTGTCCTTACTCAATTTATTGCAAAAGTATGATACTTGAATTTTGAAAATGTGAGCCTCAGAACTTTGTAAATTTTTTTGGATCCACACGACAAAATATATATACAAATATATTTTGAAATGGATTTTAAGAGGGTCTAAAATAATTCAGGCAAAACGGGTGTAAAGTTTGGATTAAAACTTAAACCCGCCTCTCCAGCTGAGAAATTCGTAAGATATCACATTTTAACTTTTATCATCAAGTGTTTAGAAAAAAAATGAATAAATATTATGACTGGTCAAAATAAAGTGTCTACAAGTATTCAAATTTAGGATGGATTTTGATATGAAAATCTTTTTGGAGGCCGATCACTTGAAATGAGAAAATTTTCAAATATTTTAAAAAGAGTACGAAACCTCTTAGTAAACTTTATACAAATGTGTAATTTAAAACTATGGAAATTCCAATCATTTATGGATATTAAATAGCATCCACAAGCGTAAACTTTAGAGTTATATTGTTATTTCCACATAAATATCTGTATCTGGCAAAGCAGTCCATGTTTGGCACTTCTTTTTCTAAAAATCTGTTTTCTCAAAACGATTTGCTAGATTTGGACTCTTTGATTCAGATTAAGAACCGTGACACAAATTGAGTCCAAACTGTAGTGAGGCCCACGGGCGCGTCTACACTAGATTAGTTTTTTAAAGGAAAAAAACAAGGTTTTTTTTTTCACAGAATTCTCATTCCTTACACTCATCTCCACTTTGTCCTTACTCAATTTATTGCAAAAGTATGATACTTGAATTTTGAAAATGTGAGCCTCAGAACTTTGTAAATTTTTTTGGATCCACACGACAAAATATATATACAAATATATTTTGAAATGGATTTTAAGAGGGTCTAAAATAATTCAGGCAAAACGGGTGTAAAGTTTGGATTAAAACTTAAACCCGCCTCTCCAGCTGAGAAATTCGTAAGATATCACATTTTAACTTTTATCATCAAGTGTTTAGAAAAAAAATGAATAAATATTATGACTGGTCAAAATAAAGTGTCTACAAGTATTCAAATTTAGGATGGATTTTGATATGAAAATCTTTTTGATTTACAATGACTTGAAATGAGAAAATTTTCAAATATTTTAAAAAGAGTACGAAACCTCTTAGTAAACTTTATACAAATGTGTAATTTAAAACTATGGAAATTCCAATCATTTATGGATATTAAATAGCATCCACAAGCGTAAACTTTAGAGTTATATTGTTATTTCCACATAAATAAGACAGTTGGGTTCATTAATTACATTATTTGTAAGATTTATTGGTTACTAAGATCTGAAAATGAAACTTAAAGTGCTTTTTACATGTATCTAATAGTTTGTCATCTCTCTCTTACATATATGGTATAACATATATATTATATACAATAAAAACTTATAAGGGTAAAAATATCCATAACAAGTTTTTAAATATGTGAATTAAAATTTAATTGATCAAATCTTCAAAACAATAAGACTTGTTAAAATATAAAAATATCATTTGAATTAATTGAATACAAGTATGTGAAAAGAGATTTACCACTAAATTTTCCTTTCATTTTTATTAAAAATAAACAAAAAATATTTAATATTTTTTATAAAAAAATAATAGTAAACTGTACCAAACGACATTTTCTGTAAAGGCTACAGCTTCTCTCCAGTTCGAAATCAAACTGGACGATACTGTTGGGCTACGATGGGCCCAAATTTGGGCTCATTTTAATGATCCATACCGTTCAATGTGTAAAGGTCGTCGAAGTGTATCATCCCTGCAAAAAATCATATTTGATCATATATCAATTGTCATTTGATCCTATTGCATTTGTTTCAATGGCAATTATGATTTTTAAAATAAATCGCAAATGCATGCTAAGAGCATCAGCATCTTCAAAATAACAAGAAGTTAAAATATAGCTAATAAATCATCAAATTCTCCTCCATCAGTCTCAACAAATTTTTTTAAAATTGACTTTTTGTTAAATTTACTACAATAACTCCTCTGATGAAGCGAGCAACTGTTCATCTCTACAACCAAACGTCTGTCCAAAAATCCGCTCGGTCAACCGGTAGATGGCAATTTTTTTTTTTTTTTTATTTTTTACATTTCCTCCGGTTTTACCTTTTGTAAAACATAAAAATTATTTGGTTGATAGGTCATTAATTCAATTATAAAAAATAAATAAATAAATAATAAATATTTTAATAGGATTGAATTAAAATAGAAAGTTTGATGCAGTGGGTGACTAGCTAAAATAGAAAATTGGCTTTTCAAGTTATAATTTGACTCAAAATTTGCTGAGACTGATGCGGATGCTCTAATCAAATGACTATCGATATCCAATTAACTTGATTTTTTACAGAGCTAATGTACTCGACGAACTCTACATAATAAACAATTTAGATTATCAATATAGGCTCAGAATCAAGCCCACCGAGGCCTAACAGCACCGTCCAATCCATTTCCGCACTGGAGAGGAGCTAGACCCTTTTGTAAACACAACATATGGAACTAGCGACATCACCAAACAGGCCATGAACTGAGTCAGGATATAAAACAGGAAGGATGCTCCTAACATATTCAGAAAACATTATTACTTAAAAGTGAAACACGAAAATGCTCCTAACATATTCAGAATACAAAAAACCACAAAAACTCCCCTAAAAGACCTATGAGAGTTGACACGCTAATAATACAGCTCTCTATTTTCAGTACTAAGAACTTGACAAGACTGATAAATGTTGTATGTAAGCTACAGAACACACCTACCTATTAACCTCAGAATTACGGCACTCAACCTTCGTTCACTTGTCTCGCTTGTTACATCTCTTGCATCTCATCACAAATACCAACAATAATAATAATTTTTGAAAAAAAAAATTTAAAAAGAAAAACACTCCATGGTCTTCTCTCATGTTTGTTCCATATCCATGCATTCACCTGATAAATGCACAGGAGTCTCCTCAAGCTTAGTTTTTCTATTATTAACTCTGGCAATGGTCAGCATGACTTTCCACACATTACAATTTTGGAGCAGACATTGCAATTCCTTGCTCACTCTGCTTCTCAGCTGAAAAATTGGCAACCATAAGACGATCACTAATCATTATACTTGAAGAAAAAGATAGTTTCCTTAATTCACACAGACACATTCATCCTTAAAATTGAGCAAAAGCAAAACAAAGTAGAATCACTGCAAAATGGTTGTAAATTGTAATCATCTCCAACAATTTAAGTAAAAAATATAAATGGTACTATTGCTAATGCTGAAATATAGTAGGCATTTTACCTCTCTAAATATTACTATAAAGTATATATTTTATTTTGCCTATCAACTGTTTTATGTTTTTACTCCAACCATGCTCTTTATTTTAGCTATTTATTCAAATACTATTAATTTTATAGAATGCCACGTCAACAACAAAGATGGAGGGAAATTATCCTAATGATTGAATATATTTTGCCTAGCGTTGAAGGCTAGCTACATGTAGCTAGTGAATATGAGTTGAGCCAAAATGCCTAATCATATGCCTAGTGCATTGGAATTGAAAAAAATGAATCACACTAGGCATTTTAACTAACAAGTATTATATGCCTAGTGCATTGGAGATGCTTTACATTGAATGAAGCACATCAATGATGGGTTACAATCACTGTGCCCCATGTTACAAAGGAGCAGCCTTAGTTCTATGGAGCTATCTAGGTTTGGAGTACTGAACGTTGACCCGATGGCCCACAAAGTTTTAAGCCCGATTGAATGTGTGGGCTGGGTAAAGCTTGGGTTTCCATAACAATAAGTGGGTCTTAAAATGTGGAGTCCAGATTTGCTAAAGTTGAGGATCTGAACTTCAAAGTAAAGTTGACCCATTATCAGACTAACTTAGGCTCACTTCGGTGATCTAAACCGTTCATCTTATACAACTGACTAAGAAAATTATCCATACAAAAAATCAAGTGGATCTAACATCGGTTATTATACTATTAGATCATTTTTATCTATATAGCCTATATGTTTTTAAGAATAGATTATCTATTTGTTATAATATATATGTGATTTGATCACGTGATTACTTATGTCTGATTAACCTAATTTTTTGCATGCATGTTATTCTGTCATATGAGATAAACAGATCAAATCATTGAGATGGGTACAGATTACTCTCATAATGCGCCAAAAGTTAAGATATTCAACTTTAGCCAATCCGAACTCTAAAATGTGAGGGTCAAGTGGATAACCCATTCTGGAAATCACAATAATGGACATCCCTTTTAGAGACATGAATGTGGAAAAACAAGCAAAGATTTGAGCTTGCATTCTTAGAAACACTTTGGGTGAAGCCATGAATTGCAAGGAATGCTAGAATCTTTCAACATAGAGGCATAATACTAGATTTGATGTAGAAGCAGAACATTCTTTGTTCCATTCCTTCCATTACCAGCCTCCAATTTGCTTTAAAAAAGCTACTAACGGATAAACAAAGCTACAAGAACGTCCTCTAACTAACGGATAGATTGAAGCGTAATTTAGATAAATATTATCTTGGTAATCAGAGGCAATTGGGAAAATACAAGGGAGTCAAGTATATATAGAGAAAACATAAGGTATTTTACCCATTGCGGAATTGCTATTAGGCTTGATATATGAGTTGTGTAAAAGGTAATTGAGGAAGGTCACGTATGCCCCAACCAAGCCCATTGTTATGGTGATTTCTCGGTTATGATAAGCTAAGAACAAGGCAATGAAGGTAAGGAACTTCATTTTAGAGAACAAAATAGCCAAATTGCAAGATGATGCAACCCCACCATTTTTCTTTTTATATATGAATATGAATACATATGAAAACGTTAATATGATTCTTTAATTCTTGCAACTAATTTACCTTCATCTTTGGCACTCTAGTGCGAAGGATTTCATTGGGGGTTGGAAGGACGTAAAAGTTGTTATGTTGTTGACCCATCAAAAACATAAATTGAGCTTTGAGATCGCAATCAAAAATCATTGTTCCAATATTACTCCACAAATAGTTTAATAAAGGGTGATGCTACCTTTCTTTTCCTTTTCCTTTTTTTTTTTTTTTTGGTGCGTCATTTTTGTAATTTGCCGCTCTTGCCATAAAATGTAATCAAGAACATTTTAGTTATCGTAGCTAATTCTCAATGCATCTTTTTATTGTCTTATAATTATAATATTTAAGATAATCCTTTCTTTCACATAAAATTCCTTTGGTTTTGGCTCGCCATTCAAAGCCGCTTCCCCCACAGGTCTCCTGCGAAGATATAGATAATAATGGAGAAGAAGCTAGAGTTGAGAGTTCCTTGGTGTTCCTTCAATTATTTATTTTTCTTTTTTTGATGGCAGAAATTATCCCCATTTAATCGGCCTAAGGCAACCTCATATTGGCCTTGAATTCATGCATCGACTTGAGCATGACTAGCAATTTGATCTGGGCACATGCCTTTTCATTCTACTTTGAGCTTTTACCAAGAGCCCCTTGATTCTTGTTCAATAACAAATTTCAAAATAACTAAAAATGTATTGCACCCATCATTACCCATAATATAATAGATTATTGTCAAACTATGAATGGCTTACCCAATATATCTAGGACAAGTAGCTAGGCTCAATTTCAAGAAGCAGGTCTCCGTTGCACCACCAAATCATCAGCAGAGTAATAATCCGCAATGAGCCGATACATGTATGATGGGTTATGCCCTCCTCTGTAAAGTTAAGATTGGTTATAAAACCATCCAGAAATAGCAACAAAAAAAAATAATAATAATAAAATTAATATAGAACCGAAGGATGAATATAAGAGTACTTCTATCCAACATATGAACAACAGTAAACTCTGTTGTGGAGCCAAAAAAATTTATTAAGTGAAGCCAGTAAACAAATTACATCTTTGTCTTCTTGTTTTCATGTAGTCACAAAGCACCGGATTTATCATTTATGTCAGCAAAACATCAATATTCCACAAACTGATGAAGAACATAACAGGTCAAACTTCCAGAACTTCATAAATCCCTCGCAGTACTAGAAAACAGTAATGAAAGGTTATAACTTACGTGTCAGTAATAAATAAACTGACAAGCTTTGGTGGTACATAATCGAATGCAGGATTGATGACATGCAGATGGGGACCGACTCCACTTCCAAAATCCATGCAATCTGAGAATTCTCCAAAGTCCAGAAGATCAGATGGAGACTTCAACTCATTCAATAAGACCTCTGGATTGTGGGGATACAAGGGACACAACTGTCAAGTGGACAAAATAGCAATGAGAAAAAAACACCATAGCACATGTCAGATTCATGAAGCAGTTAAATAACCTACAATTCAAAAAAAGAACGATCAAATGTAGAAAATTATACATACTAATAACTAATAAGTCAAGACACCTGTCGACATAAGAAATGACAAGCAGTAGGTAAGAACCACCAGCAACATTCAAAAATTTTCAGCATTTCAAGGTCAAAGGCTGCAAAATTATTTGCCACCTTCTCTTTTCTTTTGTGATAACAAACAGATATTTGGACACTTCAATCTCACTTATGGTTGTTTTCTCCATTGTATACTTTTTTAACAATGTGGCTCACAAGGCAACTTTGAAGACTTGCAATTTTTGGTGAAGCCACTAGTACTAAATTTTTCAAGTAAATAATTTGGCAAATAAAGCAGCAAATGAGTTGATAAACAGGAATAAAACTTTGGATAATTCTATTTGCACACCACAGAAAAACTTAGGTTGCGTTTGGTAGAGTTTTGTAAATATGATTGAGAATAGAGTTGTATTTTGAGTTTGTGAGTTTTGGAATTATAATTTGAGTGTGGAAAATTTGTTTGGTGAATGAGTTTTGAAAAGAGTTTTGAATTGAGTGGGGAATTTTTGATGTGACATATGATATTTGATGTAAAAACTTACAACTCATAACCAAACACACAACTCAAAATTCTATTATAACTTATAAAAAATTTTAAAAAATTCGCAAAATATTTTTTATTGAATATATAAAAATTAACATGTGTCAATTGCAACCAAAACAAAATAAAAATTTGCACTGTTCCGGTCAACCGGCCTGTTAACCAGCCGAACGACCGGTTAGTCCAAATTTTCCCGCCTTCGACCGCGTTTTCAAAAGTGAGTGGAATTAATTTTTGAAAATCATAAACAAACACCATGTTGAAATCAAACTCTAAAACTAACGTTCCAAAGCTCCACCAAACACAGCCTTAGTACACACCATTTGTGGTGTTCGATATGAATTTCTGAACAAAAGTCAAATGTTCAGACATAAATTTATGAACATAAAGCAGTTGTTTAGATATAAACCGTTGAATGGAATGTATATTTGACCAAATTATTTTTGTTCATAACTTTATGTTCAAACATTTGACTTTTGTTCGCAAGTTTATATCCAAACACCACAAATGGTGTGTACTGATATTTCCTATGGTGTGCAAATAGAATTTCCCTAAAACTTTTAGTGTGTTTATTAACTACAAGCAATTCTTTACCTTGACCTTACACTGCTTTCAGACACAAGTCAGGAGTCAAATACCATTTGCAAAAGCCCCAATTCTTCACTCTCTCCTCCCCGTCTCCTCTCTCTAAGATCCCTACTCTCCCTCTACTTCTCTTGGTCCCAAGCCAGAGAGATTTACCATCTTCATTCCACATATCTTCTGTCTCTCTCATTCACAACTAAAAAAAAAATCGAAAAAACAAAAATTCAAGGATGTTGCAACACGTGGAATGCTCCCCCTGGTTTCAGACCCACAAAATCTGCACCTTCGTCTCCAGCCAAGCCTCTCGCAGTCTCCAGAACTCGATCTGGTTCCTTCCATATCACCCACAAAGTCCCAATCAGTGACACCATATGTCAAAGCCAAACATGTTCATATATAAGCTCGTGAGTCTGAAACTGCACTCAAATACTAATCTTGATTAATGGGTTTTTTATCATTTTCGGTTTTTTTGTTGATGTGTTCGGTGTTTTGTTTAGGGTTTTGGGTCTGTAATTGCACACAATAATTCATTTGAAACTGTCAATTAGCTAGACTTGAGGGGTGAACTAAGGATCAATCCATTCTTGAGCCTGCCTCATCCTAAGAGCAAGAAGAAAAAGTAAATGTATTTCCATGAACTTGCCAATTCACTCAGCCTCCTTGTTTGTTGCCCCTTGTTTCATTAGCTAGATATGAGGTGTGTACTATGGGACAACATCTAGTAGACCTTGAGAGCTTGCCTCATGGCAAGAGAAAGGAGAACAAGTATGTTTCGATCAACTGCTGATTCATTTGGCCTCCTTGTTGATTACTTTCACAAAAACTATGGTTTCCTTTACAGGATTGGTTGATATATGGTGTTTAGTTCAAAAGCCAAGCTACAAAAGTACCATGAAAATCCCCTTTTACTCTGCTGGCCTCATAGAAGAAATCTAAGGATCTGCTATGCTCTAAAAGGACTCTCGAAATGGTGCAAGGAATACGAAAGCCAATTTATAAACTAAGAAGACATATATTTCTTAATCTAAGAATTGTCATATGCTTCATCATTTAAATAAGTCCCAAAACCAGAACTATTATGACATAGAGATAAAAGAGAATGAGGTTATAATCAGAAATAATATCAAATCAGCAAGCTATTATTATATTTCATTCAATTGGCAATATTTTCTATCAGGGTGAGAATATAACAAATTTCTTTCCACTCCACATAAACAACTGAAGCAATTTTCAGAACAAATTTTTCAACTGTTGGCAGTTAAGAAAAGGAGGTTTCCTTATTTTCTTCTGAAGCAATATGACAGTAGAGGATTTTGTAATGCCAAAATACCTTGTGAATGCCCGCAAGCACCACGAAAGGGACAGCATGCCTTTTGGCTGCTAATGCAACCATATTCAACCCAACAGGTGCGATTACCCCACCATTGGCCATAACAGCATGAGCTCCGACAATAACCTTCAAATAGCAGATTCCAAAATGAAGCTCAAATCAGTCAAGAAATCCATAACCAAATGAAAAATGAGGGAGGGGGGGATAAAAAGCATAGGTTCATGTACCATGTTCACTCTAGAAATCATGGCAAACACGGCAGAATCAGTAATTACAGTGGTTTGTAATCCTCTTGCTACCAATTCTTTTGCAAGAACATGCCCTTGATATCTAACAGAAGCACCAAGTAGTGACAAGACAAATGGGGTCTTAAAAGTGGATGAAAACATGAGAAAAAGAAAAAAAAACAAAATTGTACAAGCTATAAACAATCCCTTCTCCTTGCAACAAAGGGCTAGTTAATCACACAAACCTTGGAGCACCTTCTGCAACGAACACTCGAAATGATCTTTTTTTCTCGTTTGCAGCACAAAGAAATTCCATTACTGTTCTTGAATTGCCTAAAGTTAATATTACCTCACTGAAAAAAATAATAATAATGAACATAAATCAACCTTTTGCTTTCTTTTAGTGGGTGACATTGACTAACTTACGCATAGATAAAGTGACTTGTAGATAGGAGGGAAGGAAAAAGAAGAGATATGTCATTGTGTGGGTGCAAAGGCGTTGTGTAAGTACATGTAATTTCTTTCTCAGAATTTTGCAAGTACATGAATTCAACAGCAACTAGATCATTCCGGAGATATAAATCAGAATTCATGTTGGCACATAAATACAAACCATAACAACCAATGCATCAGGGATCTATTTCAATTGGAATAACTTATCCCAGATTTTCATTAATTCATGCTAGATATTACAGAAAAATCAAAATGAACTCTGGAGGCATAATGTCACATCATGCTGAACCTGAAGTGAGACAATAGATAGTTTCCTTGATCCTCTAATCATGTCAAGGAAATATATTCAAAATAATCACACATCAAAGCATAAGAGAAGCATTTACATATTCCAGGCAATGACTACGTCTACCCCATGCTCATTAGAAAACATGTGATATAGACACCATTAACAATCGAGGCATCAATTGTATTGATTTTTTTTTTTTTTTTTTAATATAATGAACACACAGCAAGCTGCTTTAAATGACGAATTCCTCTTGAGAAAAAACCAGTAAACAAGTAGACATTTCAGTCACAGAATTTATCCCAAGAAAAAGTACACCCACTTTAATCCCCATTGGATGGAGGTCTAGGAGGGGTAGATTGGGTACAAACCTAATATTTGGCATTATTTGCAGAGAGTATAAATTTTTTAGAACTCAACAGTTATATTGGTGTGATATTCTCTTTCTTTAAAAAGATTCATCATAAGCAGTTAATTTAGGATTTGGGAGAGAGTTGAAGAGTTGAAGATGAGGGTAACTTAGGACTTTTTGAAAATGAATGGTGTGAAATGAGAAGAAATTAATGAATTGAAAATATGTGTGGTGTGTATTAAGAAAATGGTGTGTACTAAGAGGTTTGGTGGTGTGTAAATAGAATTTCCCTAATAATATTCAAACCATACAATTATTAGCTTAGACTATACAATACATATTAACTCAAACCATTCAAATAAAAATTTTGAAAAAAAATTACTATTCAAACTTGCATAATTAAACATACAAATCATTTTATGAAAATAATTTTACTCACCCAAAAAAATCATTTTATGAAAATTTTAAAAATTAAAATAATAAAAAAATAAAATATAAATAATTCAAGTAAGATACTAAAAAAATTATATTAAAATTTTAACCCGAAAAAAAAAAAAAAAAAAAAAAAAAAAAAAAAAAAAAAAAAAAAAAAATAGTTTGAAAAAAAAAAAACATAGATACAAAATTGGATGAAAAATTACCTTGCCAACAACGAACCATTTGTCATCTTGCCAAGACTGTCGGACTCTGAGATGAGATCCATGGACTTCAAATTCCTTGGACTTTCCAATTAGCCTAACTAAGAATTTGTTTCCACCCAAAACCTTCACCATCGTCGCTGTTTTCCAAGACATGTTCTTGGAATGAAATACCTCCAAACGATCTCCGGGAACCCAATTATCAGCAGCAGCCCCCTCCACCGGTGGAGGACAAGGCCTAATTGCCTTCCTAGGAACCCTTTCAACTAGCGCCTCACTAGATCTTGGAAATGAAACATATGTTGTATGTGTGGCCATTTCCAGAGATTATTTCAGCAGAAAGCCATGAACCTGTTGAGACCTCCTTTTTGCTAAGTACTTCCACTTTACTCCCTTTCTTGAATCACATGATGAATATGCTTTCAATGTGATTCAATACCTATCATAACACAATTTCATGGACTTGGTACATCGAAAGTAAGCAATGCAGTGACATTAAAATTTTAATAGCAATTTTATAGAATAATGCTTGGGACCCCCTTTTGGGGGTCACCCCCTCACCCCCCCCTTTGCCACGTGGCAGGGGGTGATTGGAGGAACAGGAAAAAAAAGAAAAAGAAAAAGAAAAGATAACCAATGAGAGAGAGGGGGTCAAAGGGGGTAGGGGGAAAAGGGGGAATGAATCATTGTTGTATCATCTATTTGGTTTCCTATATTTAATTTTATAAAATTCAAATTTACATATTAAAAATTATATACATTTATTAAAATAAAAGTATTAAAAATAAATTTTATTTTATTTATTAAAAAAATGAGGTGCGCTAGCTTGTGAGAGAGAGTGATGTGAGGTGTGTATGGTGGTAGTTTGCAGTGTGTGTGAGTGTGAGTGCAAGGCCTGTTTGTGTGCCTGGTAGAGAGAGAGGATGGTAGTTGTGTATGTGCAGAGTGTGTGAGAGGCGAGAGTTGTGTATAACAAATGAGGGTAAAATCGTAAAATCAACTCAAGATTCTATGACTTCGTAACTTCTTTTGTACTTGCCATTCCGGTTGAAATTTGAAAAACTATTCCCACTGTCCGGCGATTGTTTTTCCCAAACACCACTGTACCATAATTGCCCCTAATGAATATCCAATTGATGGGTCAATCTGCATGGCTTGGAACAAATGCAGCGTCTTTTTTGGCCAGAGTCATAATCCATGCAGCTTTGACAGTAACGCAATTAAGATCCAATGCCAGCTTTGGCAACAACCCAATTGCACCGAGTCAAAGTGACTTGCCAGACGCAAAAAGGATAAGATAATGCCCAAATACGCTTGAAATCAGATGAGCAAGTTGAAGAGATAAAACATAACTTTATTCAAGGTTTAAGAGAGATACTTTTGATGAATATGCTCCACTGCTTGCTCAGCAATCTGCTCATGGCAAGTGCCAATATCTTGAATAAGTTCATTAACTGCCTCAATGACAATATGCTTTAGCTTCCGACTCCTTGAGTTTTTATCAGCATCTGAAAGGCAGATATAACCTTATCAATTCACAATCCTCTTATGTTTAATTGTATTTACATTTGCAGAACATGCCATGGAGATTTTTATTTGTAATTTTATATTTATGTTTATTTAATTATTATCGATAATCTAATAGTAGATAGAAATATTTATTGATAGTAATTAAGATCTTAGTATATTTCGTTCCATATTAGATTAGATTAGATATTAAGTTTTTAACAATTCTATGATTTAGATTCCTATTTAAAATTTGGGGTTTCACGCCTATAAATATTAAGTCTTTATGATGTAATCTTTTAGTTTTGAATTATTAATTTTGAGTATTAGGTTTGTGGCCGTGTCAGTTAGGGTTGTGGCCCTGTTCTTCCTCTTCTCTCTTCTTCTCTCTTCTCTTTCTCAACTGCACTCTACATCATTTTGGTATCAGAGCCCAAATCGACTCATTGTTTCTGTTTGATCAATGTAGTTGCTTTCTTGACATGGATTCGTTGCTTCAAACCATCATCATTGTCATAGACAACCCTCGTCCCATCACTGAATCCCACAACGGTTCCCATCAACAAACAGCTGCTGCAGCCACGTCGCTACACCATTACTGACTGACAGCCCTTATCTGGTTCTTCGTCAGCTTAAGTTGTTGCGTCTTCACAGCCCTTGTGTTTTGGCATTGCGAAAAGAAACCGTCAGGGTCATGGTAGTTGTCCATCGCTGTCACCAATGACATGGCGTCATTGACCTCCCGCCAGAATCTTCGTGCCGTCACGTGAGCAGTCCTTTTGTCGCAGCACCTGTTGTCCTTTGTCAAAGCCCAACGAGACAAAGGAAATCATGGAAGGACACGATCTGCTGGGGAAAAAAAGGTATTAAACCCTTGCCCCGACCCATAAGACTTAACCCGATCCATCCTTCACCCTCAGAACCAACCCAACTTTACAAATCCCTGGTCCAAAAACCCAAGTCCAATTAAAACAACCCAGGACCAGCTCTTTAGTCAGGCCCAAATAACATCTCCAGCCCAATTATTACTTAAACCCAGTCCAGCTAACACTCCTAGGCCCAATTCCCAACTATACTCCACCAGCCCAATTCTAGACTAGGCCAACCCATCTCTTTTTTCTTTAAAAAGAAAAAGAAAAACATATACAGGCCCAGCCCACAATCAAAACTAATCTGGCCCAAATCCTGTACCTCACTTAAGGGGTGATTCTATTTGCACCCAAAAAATAACTCAGTACACTCAATTAAAAATTAAAAATTTTATTTCCTATTATACCCTAATGTAAATTTACTAATAAGGACAACACATTAAATCCTAAAATTAAAAAAAAAAAAATTCTTATGGTACACCATAATCACTTATATGTATTCTTTATATTCTAGTCTCTTCATCTTCTTCCCAAAGTTTCAATCATTTTCTCTTCTTCTTCTTCCTCACTTCAAAACTCCAATCCATCCAACCAAAACTAACCAGTATCATCAACATCATTGTTTCTTATTGTGTTGTTACATGAAAATAGAAAAAAGTTTGAACAAAAATCAAACAATAGATGAGAATAATAATCAAAATTATTTTTTGAAGAAACCCATCAAAGAGGAGATAAGTATTCATATAAATATTAAAGTACAATTCTTGATTTCTGTGTTTTTTTTTTTTAAACGTAAAAACAAATATTCAACCTATGTTACATCCACACTGTTCGAACTTTCAGATCCAAACAAATTTACTTCGTTCGTATGTGAAAAGTCCGAACAAAACAATCTAGTTCGGCACGGATAGTCGAACAAACTGATTGGGTGCACTCACTTCAAAACCAAACCACCGACCTTCGTTTCTTCCTTCTTCTTCAACTTAGACCCAATGTGCTTCTTCTTCAGTAATTGGCAGTGAAAAGACTGAGAAGAGGATGACATGACTGAGGCGTGCCTGAGTATGGCTGAGAAGAAGATGTTGTGGTTAAGAATGGCTAAGAAGAGAAGAAGAAGAAGAGCTTTTCGAATTGATTTTATATTAAGGTTATTATTTGGGTGTACTATAAAATTAAATATTATATTATTCAAGGGTAATCTGTGGAAAAATATAGGGTGTACTGAGAGTAAATTATATATGTAAATAATTTAATAGGAAGTACTGAGAAATTAGGCGTACTAATTGATTTTTTGGGTGTAAATAGAATCCCCCTCACTTAAGCCACACCTACCCATTCAAACCAAACTCAGTTATAAGCTTTTTAAAAACAACACCAACCAAACCTTCATTCAGCCCAACCCATAAACCAGACAACCAAAATTCAGCCAACATACTAAACCCGTACCGGCAGCCCAACGAAAACAGTGGAAAGAAAAAAAAAAAAAAAAAAACACTTTGACCCCTTTTAACCATGGTAACCAATGCAGAGGTATATTCACATTTGGATGTTTTCCATCAAAACCTAAAAATAATTAAGGCCTCCCAGAACCAAATGTCAGCTCAATTGGTGCAACTACAATCAAGTCTGGATAAATTGTTTGTTCATTTTTTTAGAGAGAATTCATGAATTTCACAAAGTGCTAAAGAAGAACATGTGGACTTTGTTGACCGAGTTGTTCTGACGTCCAAGGTAACCGAAATTATTTTGGAGGAAACTTTAAAAACTTTAGAAGTCCACGAAGTCGTTGCAGTGCAAGTGACTCCCCCACACCACATAATTTTATCAAAGGAGGAACTTCCAATTGACAAACCATTATCTGATCCTTCTTCGATCATGCTGGGCATGATTGATTTTGTTGGCATTGAAATTAAAAAATAAACTAACTACTGGCTTAAATTAATACTGATTTCTTAAAGATTAGTATTTTGTATCATAAAATTACAGTAAGGTTTCTCAACATTCTTGAGTTCATACATAACTCACTGCTAATAATTTTTTTAAAAACATTTTTTTTACAAACGTATCGTAACCATACCCATATCCTATTTGATGGCGTAACTATAGATTGGCTAGAAACCCATTACCGAATTTGTCAAATTGGTGTATCCTTAATATATCGTGCATGTCCCATATTACATAGAAAGTAAGGATTAACAAAAGAATGTAACAATAGTAAAATTAAATATCATTAATAAATAAATCAACAAGTAAACTTGCATACAACATTTTTGACCAGTGCAAAAGGGAAAATTGTCGATTGTTCTACTATTCCAATATAAACATATTAGATTTGATATTTGAAATTAAATATTTGCAAGCTTGAAAAAAAAAAAACTAATTAGTGGCTTAGGTGATGTTTGATAAAATTGAAAACTGCAAAACTGAAACTAAAAATTAAGTATTAAAAACTAAATACTGAATTTTTTAAGCTGAAAATCTATTTGACAAAAATTTAAGTTCTGAAATAAAAATAAGTTGTTTGATAAATCAAATTTAAAATTTATTAATTTCAAATTGTATATTTCAAACTTTATATTGTGATGGTGGTGGCAGTGGCAGTGGCAGTGGTGATGGTATGATGGTGATGGTGATGGTAAAATAATGGTGATACTTATGGCAACAATGACAATGGTGATGAAGAGGGTGGCGGTGGCGGCAGTAGTAGCTGTGGCTGTGGCAATGGCAATGGCATGGTGGTTGTGGTTGTGGTTGTGGTTGTGGTTGTGGTTGTGGTGAGTTTATAATAGTGGATATCGATACTTATGTTTAGTATTTATAAATTCAGTCAAAATTAAGTAAATTTCATATGACTAAAAATTTTCTTTAAGTTTTAAGTCGATATTTTAAGAGACAATTCATATGACTAAAAATTTTCTTTAAGTTTTAAGTCGATATTTTAAGAGACAATTAAATTTTCAAGTGATATCAATTGTGGTTATCAAACGGGCTTAATTGATTATCACTAAATACATTCAGTTTTAAATGCTGTATTAGGATATCAAACAACCCCTTAAATTAATACTTATTCTTAAAGATTAGTGTTTTGTATTATAAAATTACAATGTGATTTATCTACGTTCTTGAGTTTATATATTACTCACTAATAATTTTTTTAAAAAAAATATTTACAAATGTATTCTAGCCATACCTGTATCCTATTTGATCGAGCATCTATAGATTGGCCAAAAGCTCATTATCGAATTTGGAAACCCAAAGTGAAGCCCATGGATCCGAAAGCTTTTTGGTCCCATGAATGTAATTGTTGTTGTTATTATTATTATTTAGTTAGATTAACTACGTAATACTTAACGTGATTTGATTTTGTTTCCCAAATATATTACCTTGCTTGGTTTCAAAAAATTGAGCCCACTTTTTAGAAATTTGAGATTTTTGTTTTTCATTTTTTTTTATTTTTTAAATTTTTTTCACAAATATTTTACTTTTTAGGTACATCTAAGTTATGTGCATATAGAAAGTAAAAAACTTGCTTCAAATATTAAAAAAAATCACTACAAAAATATATTAAAAAAAACACGAAAAACAAAAAAACTCAATTTTCAAAAAATCAATCAAAACCAAACAAGGTGATTAGGAAAGTTTCTAATTAAATTAGGCTTTTAATCCTATACATATTAGTGTTTTACATTGTAATGATCAGTTTTTTAATAAAAAGTACTATTGAGATTAAAGGTTGTGACCGTTTTGTGTTTCTCCCTCTTCTTCTTTTCTCTTACTCTGTTCTCCACCATTTTTGGTATCAGAGCAAAAGCTCCAACCCCTGTTTCCATTCTCTTCCTCTCTTGCCTATTACATAAAACCAGATCAAAACCTTACCTCTAGAAATTCGCCAGAGAACATCGGAACCTTACACCATTGCTACCTATTGTATGTCATGACTGACACTATCAGCCACACGTCATCGTCATCTTCTTTCCACAGCCCAGTCATCTCACGCTTGTTGCGTCTACCCCTTCCATCATCATCATCTTCGAAGTCCAGCAAAGTCAAACAATGAGCCTTCTGTTTGTCATCATCTTTAACAGAGGTAAACAAATCTCAACTCTCTTAAACCCAACCCTAAGAAGGACAGTCCACAACCCAGCCATCTCCTCAATACCTGCGACTTAACATAGACCCAAACCACAGGACCCAACCCAACCAACCCTTGTCCAGTAACCTCTTAACCAGACCAAAAAATAAAATAAAAATCCGACCTAAAATCCAGTACCAAATCAGCCAGCAAATAACCTTGACCCAACCTTATTTAATTCTATTTTATCCATTCAATCATCCCAATCCAATGGAGGCCCAAACCATTGATTAAAACCAGCCCAGCACATTAAACCCTAGACCAGCCCAACTCTACTAAACTCAAAATAAACCAAATTCTACTGTAGCCACTTTAATTCAAAATATCCCACACCAACCCAAAGTCCAAATACTCCGAAAACCAACCCAACCTAAGCACTCTCCCCAGTCAAATACCCAACTGACCTTCCTTGTCATCAACTATGGTTACCAAAGTGGAGTTGAATTCTAAGTTTGAGACCTTAGACCAAGATATGCAAGAGATGAAGAAAGCAATGACCCAGGTACAAGCTGCCTTAAAAATAAATAAATAAATAAATCTTACTTTGGAAGACAAGGGAAAGGCTGCAACTAGTGAACCTTTGGTGGCCCCACCGCCACCTCCTGATTTGGGGTATGGATGCCAACAAGTGCAAGTGAATCATTACTTGACTGATGTTTTTTTTTTTGATCGGCAAAACAAAGAGACTTCATTGATGTAAGAAAGAGTACAAAGTACAAGACAAAATACATCAATAAAGCAAGGAAAGTGCGAAAGCATCACAGTGGACTGAATCAACCAACTAGGTTGGCACAAAACAGCCCATCCTATCCTTTGCTAGCACCCCCAGAGTTGGTGAGCAACCAACCAAAAAACAGAAAAGAAAACAATAACCAGCCACCAACAATACCAGAACACCAACTATACCAGAACCAACAATTCTAATGCCCCAACAGTGCAGACTCAACGATTGGTTACATAGTTTAAAGAGTTTTTCCATTGGTACCACATGACAGAGAAAAGGAAACTACCTTTTGCTGAAGCAAAATTGAAGGGAACAGCCAAAATTTGGTAGGCAAAATATCAGCGGGACACTATGTAGCTATATGTAATTGGGAAGACATGAAAATTGCAATAAATCATTATTTTATTACCGAGTTACAAGCAACAAGCTCACTTGCAATTTACTTAGTTAACACAAGGAAGCTATGTTACCTAGAGCATGGATCATTCCAATACATGAAACAAGAACGAGAACGGGAACGTGATACGCCACATACTCTAAAATATAGTGCGATAGGAGTAGACTTGTATGGATTACACTACAAGAATTTAAGGGATTTCTAGAATAATTTTCTTTTAACTATTAGACATTCAATAAATGGTAGGTTATCTTTCTCCAAATTAATCAGATAGCAACACGTTTCTATGAGCATTATGATCTATCTTTGACATTTTGTTTTGTCAAAATTTCACTCACCTTAGATTTTACTTCATTACATTTCTTCTTCTTTTTCCTCTAAAGGAAACTTTAGGAAATATATTGAAAAAAACTTTTGGTATCATTTTATATCGCTAAATTTACCATTTTAGAACAAAAGCGTATCATATTTCGGAACGTGCATACCAAAACGTAATTCACTAGGGTATTAACGTTTTCTAGTAACACTGCAAGAATTCCGTGGAAGAATATACTTGGTAATTTTACTGTTTAGAGACAAGGTCTGAGTATCTATAGAATGAGGATGTAATGATTTCCATGTACCATCACAAACTACATCTGCAAATCTCTTGTGGATCGATGACTAGTAGGCTTTTTCATATGGCATATGCTATCCAAGTAACAGTTCAGAAGGATGAAGAAGCACAGAAGAAGGTTCCTATGCATTCCCCAGTGGACATCCTTACATGAAGTGAGAGGACTTTTGTAGAACCCATCCAAAGCAAATATCCTAATATGTCTTCTCATTCTACTCTTGGTCCTTTTCAGTCTTCGTATGGAGATAACAATAAGCCCAGGTGTTTTAACCATCAAGGTTTTGGACACCAAGCAAAAAACCGCCCTTCTCCCAAGATGAATGTACCAATAAAGCCAATGTCTGCGGTTGATAATGAAGACGTTGTGGAGACAAAAGAGTTCAAGCAAACAAAGCTTGTTGTGCAAGCTATTAATCCCCTCTATAGGTCGAATTGATTGGTCGTACTTATCCAATAATCAAATATGAATGACCCGCTAGTCACTAGGTTTTTGGGTCATAATCATTACGTAGGAGAGATGGCCAAGTGGTTCAAGGCGTAGCATTGGAATTGCTACGTAAGCTTTTGTTTATCGTGGGTTCAAATCCCTCTCTTTCTGTACCTTCATCTAATGTAGCAATGTTACTGACATAATGTATCAAATAGCAATAAATAACATTATTCCAATAGTTAGACCTTTCTTTGATATAGATTCTCTATTTCGAATTGTTGTAGACTATGTTACACGGACTCTTCTATTTCCCCCACAATACCCGTGTCCACCGGATATGACATTGGTAAGGATGTGGGATATGTGTCCGACACTCGTACCCAATTTAGACACTCAGATCCTTTAATTTGTGACAATACATGAAGAAGAAGAAATTCATTTTTGTTAGTAAAGCAATATTTTTAGCCTCCCACATGAATTAGATATAGAAATTTCATATTTTTTCTGAATCATATTTAATTTCTAATACATTTCTACATAATTTAAAACATCTCATCTGAGAATATTATATAATATGCAATATATATATGCATATGACGTGTCCCTATACCCATATTCAATTTTGGATATGCATCCCAAGATCCTAAGATTTAAATTTATGAAGGTCTGATGCTTGAATATACACCCGTACCCGACACTCAAACCCGAGTCCATATAACATAGGTTGTAGATGGAAAATATTGGAACTAGGAGTAGACAAGGAATGAAAATCTCCCTGCTAGTCTATGATACATAAATGGGAGAAAAATATCAGTCAAAGTCATATTTATCTTAATGTTAGGTCAATTTTGATCCCCACTATGACGATAAGGAATTCCAAGATGGAGTGATTGGAATTATTCAGCTATTACTTGCTACAAGTAAGGACAACAAGAAAGACCCTAAAAAGCTTCAGTGTGGGCAAATCTTTCATACTAGGGTAAAGTGTAATGATCAAGTGTGCTCGTTGGTGAGAGATCCAAGAAGTTGCACTAATGTTGTGTCTGAAGATGCTGTGAAGAAATTGGGCTTGAAGGTTGAAACACATCTTGATCCTTATCGTGTGGCATAGACAACCAACATGAAGCTAAGGGCTGATAAGCAGTGTCCCGTGACATTCAGCATTGGCAACCTTAAAGAGCAGGTAATGTGTGATGTTCTTCCTCTCAAGCTTTGTTATATTCTCTTGGGTCGTACTTGGATATGGGATCATGATGTTATTCATGATGGACAAGCCAATACCAACTATTTTATTGATGCCAAGAGTACAGTCTTACTTGTGCCACCAATTCACACCCATCAAACTGAAGAAGTCTTTGTTGATTCAGCGTGTTCCTCCTTCAAATGGCATTCTTGGTCGTGCTCCTAACTCGCCAAAGTCGAGTTCTTTTCAGTGAAGCAAATTTGATGGCATAGCTATAGATTGGCTAGAAGCCCATTATTAGATTTGGCAACCCAATGTGAAGCCCATGGGTCTGAAGGCATTTGTAGTTATTATTATTATTTACTTAGATTTAACTACATAATATTTTGTATGTGATTTGATTTTGTTTTCCAAATAATTTTAGGAAAGTTCCTAATTAAATTCGGTTTTTATTCCAATATATATTAGGGCTTTGACATTGTAATAATCAGTTTTTGAAAGAGTATTATTGAGATTGAAGGCTGTGTCAGTTTTGCGTGTTTCTCTCCCTCTTCTTCTCTTCTCTTATTCTGTTCTCCACCACTATTTTTAAAGTTTTGTCATATCATTGTATCTGTATCATATAGTATCCATATCTTGTATTTGTATCCGTGCATCCTAGAAAAATATTAATAGATTAGACATTAAGTTTCCAAATAATTCTATGATTTAATTTCCTATTCAAAATTAGGGTTTCAGGCCTATAAATATTAGGTATTTATGATGTAATCTTTAACTTTAAATTGTTAATATTGAGTATAAGTCTGTGGCCCTCTTCTTCCTCTTCTCTCTTCTCTTTCTCTATTGCGCTATACATCACACACTCTTCCCTTCCATGATACTACCACATACAATCTATCAAGATTGATCAATGTTCAATGACTGTTAGGGATATTCAAATGGACATGAATTTTGATTACACATTAGTATTTCATAAAACACTTTTAAAAAAAAAACCATGTTATCTTAAATTAACTGCACGAATAAGTTTCTAGAAGATAGAATGATAAAGAACTCACATTTGCTTTTTCCTTCAGAATCACCCCCAGAAGAAGAAGTGTGAGGAACAGCTGTTAAGTGAGGCACATCTTCAAGAAGGGCCTGCAATGAAGGTGGCCTTAGAGTGCTTCTAGCAGCAGCAGCAACAGCAGCAGCAGACAAAACTGGGTGATGATCTTGATCAACATCATCATCATCATCACTTCCAGCAGATAAACTCAACCCACCAATAACGGCTGTCGCAAGAGAAAGGTCCTCCTCCCTAATGATATGTAAAACACGCCTCACAATATTACCAACAGCAAGCTCTGCAATCCAGTACATACAATAATGTAAAATAAAGACAGCAGATAAGCCTTAAATAGTTGACAGAAGCAAAAGCACAAAATAATCTAAAAAATATAAGCTACATTAATGGCAATGGTCGAATACAGTCTCCACATATGCTTCAGAAAAGACAGCTCCCTGGTTCTTTCCTTCAAGAAGCTTTGAGAAATAATCAATCTTTGCCTTGGGCAAGATGGCCTAACCTCACAGAAAGTATACAAGAGTGGCCAATTCAGCTAGCCAGTTGGTTTGCCTTCTTTATATCATCATAAACAATGCCTTCCTTTTTTCCATAAAATGACAATAAATATTTGTGAGAGCTTGGTATGTGTTGTTTGGCCTACTTCAACATTTTAGGCTTAAGGGAAAAATAGTTGTCTCGCATGGTATAATAGCTTTGATTATGGAACAACTTGATTTCAAGTATTTTTGCTTCCATCTACTCAATTTGTTCCTCTACACTCAATTTGATTGTTGGGTAAATTACACCACTGCCACTGGTCCCTCTAGTTTGAGAAAAATTTTACTTTGATCCTCGTAGTTTCAATTTGAACAATTTGGTCCTTACACTTTCAATTTTATTGCAATGTGGTCTTGTTTGTCCCTTATCGTTAGAATTTGGAACGAAAAAAAATCAAGTGCGAAACTATAAGTGACAGAGGGACCGCATTGCAACAAAATTGAAAGTGTATGAACCAAATTGTTCAAATTGAAACTACGGGAACTAGAACGGTGCACATATGTGGGAGGGTGTAGGGCCTTATACACATTGTGAGAGGGTGAAATAGCTTAATCTACATTCTTCGAATCATTTTCTAGTAGCTTAACCTTTCGACACAAATGATTGTCTAACATGGTTTCCTATGAGGCCTCCTAATTCTTTTCCCTTCACCATCTAAAAAATGGTAGTTTCCTACCTCATCTTGTTTGGAATTTGTTCTCATGAAAAGCTAGAAAAGACTAGATAAGCATATGCAACAAGATGGTGCTTAGATTGAAGTACAAATCATAACTGTCAGATAGCATGATATATATTGTTGGATCCATTTCCTAACAACTTAGGCTTTTGAGAAAATTGGTGACTTAACATGGTATCAGAGCTCTGATTTAGAGAGGTCTTGGATTCAAGTCTCTCTATTAGCATTTTGGTATTATGTCCCCATTTGGTTTCTTCCTCTCTATTTGGTTGTTTGCTTCTCCTTCTATTTGTCTCTCCACATGCAAGACGAGACTGCACATAAGGGAGGGTGTTAGATAGCTTGATATATATTGTTGGGCCCATTTCGTAATAGCTTAGGCTTTTAGGAAAATCGGTGACTTAACAATAACAACCTACATAACATTGTCAACTCTCCTTCAATTTATCTAGCATCTTGTACAAAATACCTAGAAATAAAGGAGTCACAAGGACCAAATGACCATGGACCAAATGTGTGGCAAGACGATATAAGGTAGAATTCACGTTAAGGAGGACCTTCTAAGATACGGTAGGAAAGCCATAAAACTATAAATCCAGCAAATCTGTTGCACGCAGCAAGGCATTGAAGTAAGGCCCTTCTGCAACTAATTGCATCTTCTTAAGAAGATAGTCTCTAAAGAAATGATGTAACTACCTGGTGTACGTACTCTTATATGCAACATTTGGAAAATTTAGGTATATTTTAGCTGAACCCCAACACGAGCCATATTCAGCCGCTGCACCATAATAAAAGTGAAGGAAGTCATAATTCCCTAGCTCATCAATAATGACACTCTCTAGAGCCCACCACACCATAGACTTCAAGGTGTAGAGGCCATAAAATCCTCCAAACTTGGACCCCACTTCCCCCATCACAGGTAATCCGAATAGCAAGTTGTATGGATGACTGCTCCATAGTTTGCCTAAAGTTCTTCAAACAAAATTTTCCCAAACATTCATGTGCTCAAGAGGAGAGTTGCAAGTCTCATATGAGATAAAACCCAAAGGGGAGTTGCAACATCCAAGCCATACATTGCTTGACTTTGCATTCATACTGTAAGAATTTATGTATTATTGATTGATGTTACAAGATTGATGTATTACAAGATTGATTAATTACAATTCCTATACAATCTATATATAGAAGAAAATGTGGTAGTAGGTGTAGTGGAGGTGATAGTGGGTTAGGTGAAGTGGAGTGTGTGGTGAAGTGGAGGTAGGTGAAGTGGAGTGTGTAGTGGAGTAGGTGAAGATAAAGATGGGAAATTCTAACACATACATTCATTTATTTTTGATTTCTCTTGTTTTGCATTATGTTGTGTATATGATATGATTGTTTTGAGAGAAAACTTGATTTTAGAACAATTTGAAAGAGAAGCCTTAGTATAGGAATTTTGGCAAACAATTTAGAATTAGGGGATAACTTCGAACTTGAAATTGAAATGTTTAGACATCTTAGAAACCTTAATTGAGGAGCTTAATAGCTTAGGCCTAATGAGTAGAATCTTTTAGACACTTCGTCGAAAAATTAATAGGGATTAGTGAAAATTAAGTAAGTTAATTTAACTTAATTGAGATTAATTAAAGTAACTATGATTAAGGACTAATCTTAATTAATTAGAGTTAAGTATGATTAATTAGTCTAAGTGGAGAAATTAGAGAATTAGGTGATGAAGCATACACCTTACTAAGTCAAAGAATAAACCTAATGTCCCTCCATTATTTTATAATACAAAAATTGAAAGGAGAAATGGGCTGCTGGAATTTTCTTGTTCTTGGATGAGAGTGATGAGATAGAGAAGGAAAAAAAAAAAAAAAAAAATTGAAGGGACATCAAATCTCCAACCCAAAAATCAAAGAAAAATCATCAACAGGTAAGGAATTTCATTCTCCTATTTGTGTTGTTTATATAATCTAGGTAGGAAGTCATTTAAGATAGGTTTTGAAAGAATTTAAATATAGAAATGGAAGAAAGCTTGGGTTTGAGAAATTTTTATGAAAAATCATGTTTTGATTGATTAACTTTTGAATCCTCTTGTAAACAAATGTTTTCTATGAATTCCATATCATTTATGCATATTTTAGAGTTTCTGAAGTCATGTTTTGAGGTTTGGAATGAAGAAAAATGGAAGAAAATGAGTTAGAACATGAGCAGCTGAGCCAGAACCAACAAAGGATGGACCGCTACATGACCACCGCACATGTGACCAAACAGGGCACTTGCCCGATTTGACTTCTTTCCGTTCTCCTTGATTCACCGAACCTCACTACACTTGATTGAGACTTGAGATAAAATTAAATAAGGTTTAGAAACAAATTTTTAGAGGGAATGGATACAAAAGTAAAGCTAAAGTTGAGTTAGCACATTTGTATCATAAGCGAAAAGAACAGCATTTCAATTGTTTTGCATTTCGTTTCATCCATACTAGTATTATTGCTTATGTAGGTCACGGTCTTGTGGAATAGGCCTTGTGCGGGAGCCATTGTGAGTAATATTATTGTAAAGTTACGTTCAAAAGTTTATTTTGAAATCGAAAAAGTATCATGTTCAAAATGTTTAGCTTTGCATCCGAAATGAATTAATATCAATGTACTCTTTGTATCAATGTATGTTAATGCCATCCTCAGATTATTCCCAGTCACTGGGGGGCCGTAAGCATGCCAATGACCATCATTTGCGATCTCCTCTACCACTTGGGGGTGGATTTGTTTAATCAATACCTAGGCCGATTATTCCTCTATTTTGTTCTGTTCTGATGGATCACTATTATGTTTTTTGAAAATATTATGGTTGAAATGAGATACTATGATGGAAAGTTTTGAAATATATTGAGCTTGATGACTTGATCTATAATTTGCAAATTTGTCGATATTCATTCATTACTACGTTAATGTAATATTATTTACTAGGCTATGGCTCACCGCTCTCCCCTATATATATAAATGTTGGTGACGATGAGAAAGAACAAGCTTGAGCAAGAAGAATTTACTTTTGAGTTTTTGACTTTGTAATAGAAGTCTTGTATGTAACTAGTTTGTACTTTTGTAATGTAATCTAAATGAAGTTGTAATAGATAGTCTATAATACTTGTACCTATTTGTAATCCATGTTCAAAGATGTAAATTATTTGTTTATGTTAATATAAGGTTTGTGTGTTTCATATCATATTTACCTATGCACAGCTCCCAATGGACTTAATTTGCTATGTATGTACGACTTTCGCATAAAGAACCCCAATATTATATTAGTACATTATTTGTTTTTGTTTTGTAAGGCCTTTGGTAGTCAAGACTACTGGCCAATCACCACACTATTCTGTTTAGGATGGGATGGGGTCGTGACAATAGTCGCAGCGCTTAATAGTGAACCAAGTGATTGAAGTAGGTTTTATATGCTCAAAATTGATAGCCTTCCCTTCTTCTAGAAGGGTGATCCCTCCTAGGAGCATCCTAGCAGAGAGCTACTCCGCACTACATGCCCAAAATTAATCATCTTCTCCAAACAAGCCCCTCTACCACTCTTCTGGGAAAGCAATGATAGGAAGCCTCTAACCAAAACAGTGCATCAACCACTTGGTGTCAAGCCCCTCAACAGGATTGCCTCTCTTAAATGGCTCGAGAACTTTCTGTTTGGCGAACAAATTAAATGAATCACTCCAAGAATCACTAGACAGAGAGAAACACTATTGTACAAATTCTAGTAGCCTCAAAAAGAAATCACCAAAGAGCTTCTTTCTTCGCTAGAGAGCCTTTGAAATAAGAGAAAAAGGAGCAAAGAGGCTAAGTGTTAGCACCTTGACATTTGGGAGCTAGCAACCTGACATTTGGTGGCGCCTTGCACCTATGTCAGCAGACCTAGACCAAGGCATGAGAGAGGCATGCCAACATGACAAGGTGGGCATTCAGTTGTGTCGTGTGGCAGCGGCACTCAACCCTTGGCCAAGCGTCAGCAACATGGCAAATGCAAGGCACCAATGTGACCTAAATGATGGGCTGCAGCACACTTGGGGGTTTAACACAATCAGATGACTTGACTTGGCTAGACAACAAGGCATGCACTTGATTGGTTAGCAAGCCACATGGGCTTGACCAAGACCAACAGATGGCACTCGGGACTCTGTTTGGCTAGTGACATGGGCAATTCGAATTGTCTAAGGCAAGCCAAAGGTAGGCTAAAATATAGGGGCAGTTATGCAAGACCAAGACATGCTGGCATGAGACAATGAATTATAGGAACAATTGGTGGTGGTTACAACTGTTGGCTTGTTTCATATTTATCCAAACCCATTGGCAGTTGGGGGTGTCAAGTGATTTAATCTAAAAAGAAAACATCTCCACCAAGGGATTAATGTTGCACATGGCATAAAGTATGGCATTAGTTCAAAACGGCATGGGTCAAAGGATTCATCTAACTATAATTAATCACAGTAGTGATTATGCTGCAGAGTCGGATTAATGATTTACATATGGCTTCACACGGGTATGTCCCATATGAATGAACGTGTATAAGTGATTTAATCTAAAAAGCAAACATCTCCCAAAGGGATTAATGCTGCACATGGCATAAAGTATATGGTAGTAGTTCAAAACAGCATCGATCGAAGGATTCGCCTAACTATAATCACTGTAGTGATTATGCTGCAGGAACTCCACACCCTAGAAGGGTCAACCGTGGTAGTTTTGCATACCTAAGTCAAAGAGGCAGGACTATGGTATGTCAAGTTTTTGACCTTAGTGTCACATGACTCTGGGATCAAGTGGCTTGGCGGTTCGATAGAGCACTGTGTCACTTGGTATGTCACCCAACAAGGGGTACATAGCCAACACCATGAAGCATCTTGTACCAAAGCTCGGAGATCTAGGCAAATCCTAACGGATTAATATGCTCTAACACGAATTAGCATACACTAACAGAATTCCAAATATATGGGAAATTCACTAAGGACCACGTGACCCTCCTATAAATAGGAGGTAGTACAGAAACTTTAGAGAGGTCATCCCTAAGCTCAATATTTTGTACCCCAGTGCTCATATGCCTCTCTCTCTCTCTCTCTCTCTCTCTCTAGATTGTTGTGTTTTGTAAGCAAACACCGCCTCTGTCCTCAGCATGACATGTGGTTCCACTACTTCTCCAGTCAAGTACCACATACGTGATACAGCATTAATCCTTGATAATATTTTCATTTTTTCTGCATATTATTTCTCTATCACAGACATGTTGTAGTAACAATAACAATCATGAACTAATTGATCAATAATTGCTGAAATGACAACTGATAGAAATAATAAGACACGTACCCACAGGATTTGCAGCAATCAGCTGCTCTCCAACCTCCTTTATAGCATCAATAAGAGCCCCAGCCTGGTTTGTGTGGGGAATTCGCTGCTGTGAAATTACTGACCTAAGCAACTCCGACGTATGCTTGGCTGTAGCCTTCGATCCCTCAATTTTACTGCCACAAGAAAGGATTAAAAAAAACCAAAACACACACACAATTACAAAATGTTAGCTCAACAATTCGATGAACTATACCAATGAAAACAAACACCCGCACAAATAAGACCTCAAAATGCCAATCTGACAATTCAATGAACAATAACGATGAACACAAAACCCCAAAATGCAAATTCGACAACACAAAATGAACAAAAATTGATGAACTCACCGTTTTCTCAGCTTGATTACGAAATCATTCACAAGGGCATGCACGTCCGGCATGACTTCAAAGAATTTCACCTGAAAAATATATTAAGAATAACTTCCATCAATCACTGTTCTCTGTTTGGATGCCAAGAAAACAAAAGGAAAACATCCACCCCAAAATCTTTATCATATCGGGACCTACCTGAGAGAAACGACTTACAACTCAATTCACTTTCTCGGTATTTTGTTTCTAAAATCAAAAACAGCGAAAATCGCAAGAATAAAAATTTTAATTGTCTTTTTCCTTTGTTTTCCAGCAAAAAGGTTGATAGAGACAAAAGATCGATCGTGCGGTGAGAAGAAGTTCGAGATAGAGAAATAAATAAAAAAATGTAGAAAATATAAGTGAGAGAGAGAGAGAGAGAGAGAGAGAAAGAATATGACTACGGAACTTACAAGCAGAGCAATACCCCAGAATTGGATGAATGAACGATAGATAGTGTGGTGTGGGTCTCAGAGGATGAGAATGAACTCGCTCTTGGTTTCCGTCTCGGCAGTGTTTGGGTGGGTTGGATTTTTGCTCAGAGAGAGAGAGAGAGAGAGAGAGAGAGAGGAGGGGAAAGTGAAGAGTCCGGATCTCGTGTAGTGATTATTCGTAGTCCATTTTGTGGGCGTCTGGATTTGTTTTTTATTTATTTTTTTTTATTCTCTTTTTTTTGTTTTCTTGGATAATTTTACCTTCACTAATTTCCTTCCGTTTATATTTTAAATATATAGGTCTTGTTTAGTTTATTTTTAATAAACAAATCTTAAATAAAAAATTTTAAAACTTTGTTTAGGGATTGTTTGGGATGACTTAAATAAGTGTATTTTTTATCTTTTTACGAAAAGATATGCAGAAAAGTAGAGAGGTGATGTAATGGAAAAAAGATAAAAAGATGGCTTATTTTGGGGTTGCCAAACTTGGCCTTAGTTTAGTGATTTTAAAAAAAAAAAATTCAAAACTACTATCTCTTCTACATATCAATCGATCACTTTTTCTCTCTCCTCTCTCATTTTCAATCACTTTTTCTCTCATATACATCTACTCAATTACAACAAAATATCAAATCATCCCAAATTCATATACTCCAAAACTATTTTCAAAACATACAACCAAACAAACTCAAAAAAAATTTAAACTCTCTCTTTAAAATCTTTTTTGAAAATTTATCTCTCGAAACCAAACCCAACACATCCATAAATTTTTGTTTTTAAATAAAAATACCACAGTATTCTTATATTCTTCCATTTAAATTTTAATTCTAAAATACTATAACCATCCTCTATCTCCATCGCAAGCGCTACCTCATTCTTCTACCATTCCCTTATAGCATTTTTTCCCCTTCCGTCTGCGATCACTTTATGTCATGAACCATACACTCTCACAAACCCCCTACCATGAATCACTCACTTTCAAGATTGACTGTAGAGAGTTAGGATAGAAGAAGATGAGTTGGGAGTGACGGTGGTGGTGGTTGTAGCGGTGGAGGGTTGAGAATGGCAATAATGGCGGTGAAAAAAGGGTGGTGGGTTTTGAAATTGAAGATGTGGGTGTTATTGAAATAAAGATATGTATAGAAGGTTGCTAAATATCCCTACCTTTCTATTTTGGACCCCCCACTTCTTTGGTCCTCCATTACCAAAATTATTTCCCTTTTTATTTTTCTTTGGATCCTATCATAATCTCAAATATAACCGTTGAATCCCACCCTTACACTTTCCACCTGCAATTTCTCATTCCCTCCTCTGGCAGCCCCCTTCCATTCGGGAGACCCTCTTCCTACGGCAACCTACTCAAACAGCAACATCAATAGCCATAATAGAGCAACTATTTGTTTCCTCGAAGTATCAGACAGATGCGAAGTATGTTTCAAGGAATGCAACAACGTTTGAAGGTCTTATAGCCGAAAATCCATTTTCAGAGAATCACATTGATGTTGCTGAAAATGAATGATGGATAACCAGTTTAGAAAACCCCCCTTTTTACCTTCGCGACCACTCTCGCCGTCATTCAGAAAACCAATTTCGAACAAAAGTCTAATGTTCAGTATTATGTAGCTGAACAAAAGTCATATGTTCAGTTGTGGAGCGCCAAACATATTCAACTAGCTCGGCTCTATATAATTGAACGAAGAAAAATCAACCAACATGTGAGGTAGAGAGAGAAATCGATGGGAAAAGAAAGAGCTGCTTACAAAAGAGAGAAAAGAGAGTAGGTTCCGGAGGATGAAGACGAAGATCGCAAAAAAAGAGTTCGCGAATCAGTCACTCTTTCTTCGTAGCCGTCGCCGCCACCGAAAACCTAACCTTTGCCACTATTGATAGTTCTATGAACAGCATGTGGTGACAAAAGGCTCGCTGGAGAAAAAACAATAAAGGAGGTTGGTTGGGCACTAGAGGTCACTAGCGGGAGTGGAGGTGGTAGTGGGATTAGGGTTAGGGTTAGACTTGAGAGGATAAGATGAGAACAAAATTAGAATTTGATGTTAAAACAAAATTGTAATAAAATAAAAATAAAAAACAATGGCGGGTCCAAAGTAAAAAGGTAAAGGCATTCAGCAGCATTCTATGTATATTGAGAATTATTTTTTTTAATATATATACTGAGAAGGTATTCGTTAAGTATTGTAACGCCCTGAAATAATAACAATAGCCATCTCATAATATTCATTACAATTGATCAATAACATCATGTCTTATATTCCATTTATAATCGTTGATCATACAAAAGATGACATATGCGTGTAGACATTCATAAATCCTAGATCCTGAATCTATAGCATATGACATGGTTATGAATTAAAATGAAAGTGAGATCAAGTAATTATATACCCTAATGGCTACATCTTTCCAAGTCAATGCTTAGATACATCAAAATGAGTTCAACTCAATACAATTAAAGCCCAAGACTTGTACAAAAATAATTACATCAAATAAAACAAAGAAAGCTCTTGGCTCCAAGTGCTCCCAAGCTATGTCCTTGGAGGAGGCATATCATCAGCACCTGGAAGTTGTTTTCTACATAGGGTGAGCCAAAGCCCAGTAGAAATATTTTAACACAATATATGAATCATGACAAAGTCATAAGATGAATGCACATGCATGCCATTTATTATATATCAATTCATGAAAATAATCTTTTATAACTGAAAACTGGGCAGTGGATACAAAACTGTGACAACCCCATCACGTAATATACTTTTTATTCTTTAGTTTTGCATGTGCTTATGTGTTTAGTGTGAATTTGAATGTTAATTATGTGATTAATATGGTTTTTGGATGCATATTTGTCAATCGTAGGAATATCTATTGTGATTTCTGTTATGATCTGAAATTGAAGGCCTTAATGGCGCCAGAAATTGAAATTGATTAGTTTATTATGAATGACATAATTTTTAGAGCCTAATGAGAGGTTTGATTAAAATTTGATATTCATTAGATTAAATCAATTTAATTAAGTTTGGCTAATTAGCCTTAAGCTCTAATTAATTAGTTTAATCATAGGTTAGTGAATTGAGCCAACCTGGCCTATATATATGTTAATTAAGGTGATTAGGCTCATTTTACACTCAAAAATCTACTGTGCAACATTTTAGAGAGATAGAGAGAATTCAATTATAGAGAGAGAGAGAGAGAGAGAGAGAGAGAGAGAGAGAGGGGAAGAGCTTGATTTGAAGAAATTGTTTAGAGAATTGAAGGATTGCGTAGTAGAGCTCAAGTTTTTGCTAGAATTGGTGTTGTTGAAGACTCTAGGTATGTGATTACACCTTAACTCATGAATTTAAGTCATCAAATATGTGAATTCAAAAAGATTATGTGATTAAATGTGAGAATTTAGCTTAGAATGAAGGAATTGGTGTTAATTCATACTTGCATGCATAATTCTGTTTAATTTCATGATTTTGAGCATAATTCATGTCATCTATGTTGAAATTAGAAATTATATCATACATGCACTCATGATTCATAAGAGTTTGAAGTTGAATTTCATGTTTTGAAAATTTTGGAAAAAGAGTATGAAGCTTAATTGTACATGCATGCATGATTTTGTCAAGATTCTTCTTATATGATCATGAATTTATTATCCATGTTGAGTTTTGAAACTATCTCATACTGTCATACATGCATCATTGATTTCTAAGGTTTTAAAGGTTGAATTTCATGAATATATGAATTAAAGAGCATGTGTTTGAAAAGCAAGAAAAGAAGGAGTTGAGGTTCATACATGCATGAAGAAATAATGTTTAATTTTGGTAAATTCATGAAGTTTTGAGCATAAGATTTGTAAGTCATCAAGTGTTTATGTTTAATTACATGTTTTCAAGTTTTGGACAAGTCTTGCACGAATCCATACTTTGGACATGTGTTTTGAAATTCAAATTAAGTTATGGAAATTCAAGAATTCTGCCTCACTGCTCGAGCAAACAATCTATCGCCCAAGTGCATATTTCATGCATCTAGTATTTTTGCAGACATTTGCATTTGGCTCTAACGACCAAGTCACTGCTCAAGCGATTGCCTTTTATTTTACATCTTGGCTCAAGCAAACATCAAGCCTAGATTCGGACCATGTAGTACTTTTATAGACCAAGTTGTCTGCTCGAGCGACCAATGTTGCGCTCAAGCGAAGTGCTTTGTTTCAGCATATTTTAAAAAAACATATTCTGATCACGTGTACATTCTCATTCCTTTCTGAGTATTCTTAGACATGAATTAGGCCTCATGAGTGACCTAATAAGTAAGAAATGGAATGAAAAGAATTGAGTAAAGCAAGAATGATTTGAATTCGTCAAACGTTCCAATGTGTGTTATGTGTTATATGTTATGTGTAATGTAGGTTGGATCACGGAGGCGTGATAACACTTCGAACATTGTGATTAATATCTTAGTAAAGATATTTTCTTATTTACTCTATTTTCTGAATGTCTTAATGTAGTAAGTTTTCTGAATTCATGATTTTGCAAATGTGAATGAGTTCTTATCTATCTAATCAACATGATAACTGTAAATGTGATTAATGTGACACGAATGTGTATGATGGACTTAAGGTCGTTCTGTATATCTAAATTGAACCCAAGGTCATTCTGTATATTTGACAATATGGACCCAAGGTTATTTTGAATATCTGATAAGTCCAATTATCTATTATGGGTTGACCGATGGTCAGTATACAACTATAAATGATTGGACCCGAGGTCGTTCCGCTATTTGTTGGACCCAAGGTTGTTTCGTTATGAATTGTTTATAATATGAAATTGCTTATGTTATTTAAAGAAACTCATTCATATAACCTCTTTATTTTGATGCTATTCACTGAGCATTAACTCACTTCATTAAATATATATGTACGTAGGTGAGCAGCGGGATGTCCATCCCCTGCCCTAATGAACCTGTAGAGAATACCAAGTTTTTGTGGAGTCAGCCAAGAATGCCTCACGCACAAGGCTTTTGTCTTTTGATTTTCTATTTTCTTTTGTTGGTCATGCTTGACCATGTCTGCATTAAGTTTGGTGTTTGTATGTTAATGACACATGTACGATCTTGGACATGTAAGACTTCTTAAGTATGTATGAGTGTGAGTTATTAATATAAATGAGATGTCTCT